TGTGTGTGTGTGTGTGTGTGTGTGTGTGTGTGTGTGTGTGTGTGTGTCACACTGTCCTACTGCCTCCGGGAGTTTCTGTCTTTTACAAGCCTCCTCTTATTCTCCGTCTTTTTTTTCGTTTTTTGTTCTTTGAGTTCAGCATTTTTCCCCCCTTTCTTTTTCTGTATTACGCACACATTTGAAACGCACCCTTGTCTAAAATATTGCACGTACAATAAAGCAAAAATGCTCCATCTATAGAGGTTTATGCACATAACTTAATTGACACCCTGAGGGAATTTATTCAAATTATTCAACCTGTATTCAAAACAAATTAGTTTGCGCTGGTTTGAAACGGGACTCTGTGTGAAGTGTTGCAAAAAAAGCAAAACAAAATAAATAGATACATAAGTAAATAACTTTAGGAAAAACGTTAAAAACTGCAACGGAAATTAATAAAAAATCTTAATAAATATGGTAAACAGGGAAAAAGAGTCAAACCAGCGATGATTGATGTGAATAAAACATTACTGGATAAAAGCCTCACTGACATTAAAGACACACTTATCAATAGTCATAAACCTAAGGGTGATGCTTTAGATATGAATATTGTTGATATTTGAAGAAATAATAAACACAATTCTAATATTAATCAATAACATAACTAGAAAACATTATGATACAAGTGGAAACACAGCGCAAACCCTAATGTCATGGGATGTGTTGGAGTGCACACACCTCGCCTCTGACCCACTGTGAGCAGAGAAACCACATGAACGACCGCCGTTAGTCTCCCAGCATAAGCTCATGTTGAAGTTGCTGAATGCCATCAGGAGGAGCAGGGCCCGCGCAAATCCTGATTGCAGTCAGATTGGCACCTGCCACATTGCACTAAATCCCCCCTCAAAGCAGACCTTACAGCTGCTTGATTACAGGGGATTTTCAACCGCGTATGTCCAGACAAGAAAAGCCTCCGGGTTGGCCTGAGGGCCAGAGAGCGTGCCACTGCTGACCCAAAGACACCAGCTACCATCA